GTGGCAAGTCTATTGTTGTGTTTCGGAATTAGGGGAAACAAAGCTTCAAGAAGTAGAAGCTTCCTGGCAAAGCTTAAAACAAAGAGGATGGGTTGTTCACTTCATTGATTTGACTTCACTTTACTTAAGATTAAATATATGGGTCGGGTGGGCAGTGAAGGCTCATTTAGTAGACAGCGAGTGAGCTGCAAGCACTTACTCCTATCAAAATAAGAAGCAGCAAGCGGAACTTGAACTTGAAAGAAGCGAGCCTCTATCAGAGAAAGCCATTGCGCGCTAGCCCCTTATCTTGTATAGGTTGGAAAACCTGCGCACCCCTAAACTACAAANTGAACTTGAAGAAGCGAGCCTCTATCAGAGAAAGCCATTGCGCGCTAGCCCCTTGTCTTGTATAGGGTGGAAAACCTGCGCACCCCTAAACTACAAGCTTTCTTTGAAGCCCCTACAACATGGGATATTTGAAGAATCCCCTTTCTACAAACCTTTCTATAATATAAGAGAAGCTCTTCTAGCTTTCTTCGCATGCTTAAGCGCATCCCCTTTCTATTAGTAAGGTTGTCAAATTTCCTTTAGTGCCTTTATGACTATAATATAAATAATAGGAGTAGGGGGCGCCAACGAGCAAGAGAATGGATGCGCTAAGGCGCAACTTCGTGCAGTTGCTACGCCATTGCTTCTTGACTTATCTTTTACTAAGTAACTAATCTAAATAGAAGCCCTTCTTTCTCAAAGTCAACTTTCTCCCTTCTTGCTCTAGTGAAATAAGGAGCGCTAACGCGACCTTCCTTCAGCTGGCTTCACCCTATCTATTCATCTATTTTCTCAAATGANATCTTTTACTAAGAAACTAATCTAAATAGAAGCCCTTCTTTCTCAAAGTAAACTTTCTCCCTTCTTGCTTTAGTGAAATAAGGGGCGCTAACGCGACCTTCCTTCAGCAGGCTTCGCCCTATCTATTCATCTATTTTCTCAAATGGATATTTAGGGATCTCTCTTGTTCATAGATCTTGAAACCAGATCAATATCCATTTCTCAATAGATCTATTTATCGATAGAAAGATATAGATCTCTATATGGATCTATCTCCATATCTAAATATGGAAGAACCGACACAACAAGGGCGTAACCAACGGAAGGTTCTCACCCTGTCCCCGACATTGTTCTCCGACGATGTCCCCTGGGCGAAAGGAGCAACCATTCTCTTTCTTTCTTCAATCGTTCCGATCAGGACAAGGGTTCGTTTCGTCCTCCTATCTACGCAATTCTCTGTCTTTGTTCGTGATCATATTGGGCGAAAGGTAGTTATAGAGGAGCGGCTGTGAAACGGCGATTCCCCCATTTTCATTGAAGTAGGGAGGGCCTCCTTCCCTACCATTCTGGCCTATTATTGATAGGGATTTTACCAATGCTGAAGATAGTTTGCTTACCAAGCCGCCCACTTGAGAAGCTAGTCGCCAGGAAAGAAGCGAGGAGGAGGCGAAGCTGTCTACGAAGCTTTGCTTCTCTCCCTATAGTCGTAATACTCGGCTTATCGCTACTTTGATTCAAAAGGTAATCGACGGTAACCGACTTTCTCCGTNCGACTTTCTCCGCTTTCCGCAACCGTAACCACTTGTCATTCCGATTACTTCATCCATAAACCTTTTTTTTATTTCAAAATAGTGATACGCTCTAAAAAGGTAAAGGAGAAGCTTCCATTCTAGAAGCTACTGCTTCCCGCCTCCCTCGGGGTGAGAAGTTCCCTTCCCTTTTCTAAAATGCCTGAGTGGTCTGCTCAGCAAACGTACAAAGTGAACCGCAGTTTGGCTGACCCTCTTCTTCCCATTCGGGTTGGGTTGACTCAGAAGTACAGTAAGAAGGAATGGAACCACTGAAGAGTTGTCTGCAGTTCACACTTGGGGCAAAGACGACTGACTTTGGAAGCGGAACACGAACCTATTTCCGCTATTCCGGGTTCTTATTGAGCGTAACGAAATCAAGGTTGATGATAAAGTCAGCGAAGTTTCCATGGTGTTCTACCTTTGCGTCATCTCGGTCCACAGTGGAAGGCTCTGTACCTGAGCCTCGTTAGACTTAGCTGAAGTGTAAGGTGTAAGTGAAGAAAATAGAAGAGATGAAGTCCGTCCCTTAGCCTAGTCTATATCCACAGCTGACGCAACTCCGTACCGACGCCTCACTACTACTTTCATTTTTCTTTTATTTTTAAATTAATCAACGGCTAAGCGATTTCATAACCTGAGCTTTCCTTAATCAGCTGACCTTACTTCGTAACCTTAGCCTCCCTTTCTTTATAGTTTTCTAGTTCGACTAAGTGACTTCGTAATCTCAACGTACTTTTTTTCTTACTGTAGAATAGGCCTTCGCTACGTCAAACGGGCGTTTTGCCCCTGTTTTTTTTTGAATTAGAAAGAGCGGGGTCTTACTTATTCAGGGGGATGAAAGACAAATAAAGGGATCATGGGGCTTTATGATCGGAGAAAGAGAATGGGCGTGGTTGGTGTGTCACTAGGTCGGTGGGGGAACCCGTAAGAAGGGGGGACGACTCGTCGAATTCACATAAGAAATCGCCAACATGAAGACAAACGAAATCTTGAATTGCGTATAGAAACAAAACGAACCACTTCAATTCTCGGAGCTGTCCCTTTCGTCCAGTGGTTAGGATATCGTATTTTCATGTCGAAGACACGAGTTCGATTCCCGTAAGGGATAGGTACTCATTCCCGGCTGCTTTCAGTTAGTGTTCATTGTTGAGTGATCGCTCGCTATCTGGCTAGAAAAGATGGTCCGGAAGCTTCCTCTCTCCCAGCAAGCAAGACGAGATCACCACTTCTCTCGGTAATGAACTTCCTTTACTTCGTAACCTTAGCCTTAGATGTCCATTCATAGATTCTCGAACCTCCGACAGACAGAATCTCCATACATGCGTTCTTTCTCTCGGATTATTGGGTCGAAAATTAACTTCGGATTTCGCTATCATGCATCGTCCTAGTATCAGTTGTTCTAGGATAGTGCGTAACGTGTTTTCTCCTGCTCTTTCATTTGCTTTCAAACTGAATCCTCTGCCACACAAGCATCATTTAAGATATTACACTTGCGAGATAACGATTTTTAAAAACGTAAATCAAATAAACCTGTGACGTTTTCCATTACGTACATGGAAACGCAGGACTACCAAGTCGAGTCAGATTCCCCCTGCCTTAGCATGTATAAGAGATACAACTCGAAAGGATTGACTCAAAAATTCTTAGCAAATTGCAAAAAACTTTTGAGGCAAACCACCCAAATCGCCTTTTAATTTATACTGTTTTGATGAGAAAAATGCCAACACAGTGCCACCATCAAACATTATGAAAGATCTAGTGGTGAAACCACTCGGAGCCATTTATGATCACTCTTTAATGGAGTAACTATTTTGATCAGAAAAGCTGACCACCGAGAGCATTATTTATGAGAGGTCTTTTAATTTTACAACATATTATATAAAAACACACCTCGACAGTTCATATCGATACAGTCAACGGGCGTGTCTTAATTGCCGATACGTCAGAACATAAGGTACTTCTTCATGAACTCGCACATGATTCAAAGCAGCTGTTAGAGGAAGGAATTCTAGTGAAATAGGAGAAATAGATAGTGGTAGGAAAAAAATCTTGAATGGCGACCAAGTTCTCCATTTTCAAAAAAAATTATCAGATCAAGTATAGCATTATAAGCTGATTAAAGTGTTGATCTGATGCCAACCAGTAACCATAGGTAATTAATCAAATTCTAAAGCATGAATGAATTAGCACCTACCCCAGACCCAAAATAAATGTAGACCTCCCACACCGAACCCCCTTCCAAACAGAAAATGGAAAACGAAATATGTTACTTATCTACACAGGGACCTAAGGCTGTCGGAGTTTCTTCTGAATCTGTTGGAATGGAAGGAACAACAAAGTCGGACCTCCTCGCCACTGTGCAAGAAGGTTACCACTCGTAATGCATAACCCCCTACCTGATGATACTAAACTGCCATGTACATGACCGAGGCGTAGCAATTACCCCGTCATCCTTCCATCATCCTTAAGATAGGCTGTATATAGACTCAAATCTGTAAGCAACACACTCCCAATCTACGTTGTCCAGTTGATATCGATCAGCCGGTCTGCAACAGGAAAAAGAGATCACAATACAGGTAAGCCATATCCAAGTTCATTTCTGAATTTGTCAACTGACCAGTAAATCAACTAAGCACGAAACCTCTCAGTTTTAAACTTGACCGCTTGAACCATCCAGTTTATGTAAATTAGGCATGCATGATGATGGTTCTCCAGAATTAAATGTTTGATTATTACTTGAGTGGAGCAGCTATAGGACAGGAAGTGCAACTAGAACACCCCAAACTAGGGAATCAAAAAATGAGAAAACAGATATTCAAGGCAAACAAGCACCGAAAGTTTCAGTGGTAAAATTGCAAATATTTGAGCATGACAAGAACCAAAATCACCTATATATTTTTGTCCATCAATTTTTTAACAATCTATGGAAAATTTTACAGCATTCCTGAAACATAGAAGACATGCTTACCATAGGACATTCAGAGGAAACTACAGACACAGAGCACAAAAGTGCAAAACATATGTTACCATCAAATAGAAAGCTTTAAGCAACTCAGCAAATTTAGACAGAACTATGCTATCCTAGAACCTTTCCAGCAACCTCATCTGAAGGAAGTGAAGGAAACAAATTTCAACAGATCAAAGAACATAATTCTCATAACTAGAAAAAGCCGTGAATAAGTGAGTAATTTCAGTTGTCATCTTAGCAGTTCCGATTGTACCTTACACAATCAAAGACAAACAGGCACCCCCAAGACAAAGACAGAGAAGAGAAGAAAAATATAAAAGAGAGTTGGAAATACTTACATTTACATGGAAATCACAGGATGATCAAATATAAGCAATTTTCGGGGAAGCTGCAAAAGGGAAGCTTGTCTCAACCAAAACCAAATCCTTCACTAGCCTCATGGATAGCCAAAAGCAAACGTTCTTGTAGCTGTTCCTTGGAAGTATACTCCGGTAGGTCAAGTTGGTTGAAGCTGGAAGGAAAAAAGAAAAGTGACGGTAAGAGACACTATTGCTTGCTGAACTATCACCCGGATGCATCTACTTGATTACAAGTGAACTACTGATAAGAACACAATAAGTACAAACACCAACCAGGTATGTGCAGATGGAAGCCGCTCAGGAGCTCCATAAGCCTTGTGAATCTGAAATCTCTGAGGGCCAGAAATCCCTTGCAATGCCTTGAAACCTTCCAAAGGAACCTAAGGCCAACAGCACCCACAATTAATCTCAAAGAAGAAATTCAGACATTTGCAGGGAATGCACTCCTTAAAACATTCAAAAGGGCATGCAGAACTCCGAACCACCAAACAAGGGGGGTAATTTTTTTTTTTTTTTTTTTTTTTTTTTTTTTTTTTTTTTGTGTGTGTGTTGTGGGGTGGGGGTGGGGGCAGGAGATGGAAGGAAGAAGAAGGAGCAGACACAAGTAGGAAGGAGATACAGAATCAAAATTACCAGAATTCAGGAGCACATGTAACAGAGAATTCATAAGCACCTGAATATTGGTTTGAAAAAAATGGAGCTTTTCTCAAGAAAAACTGACTTTTGCTACAAGATTAGCCTGGACTAGGATGGCTAGGAGGGAAGGAAGTAGAATGCTTGTCCATGGGGTTTTGTGGGATTGGATCCACACATCAATAGAAACAAATTGTATCACACTATCACCTCTTAGCAGATTCTATATGTGACGGGAAAAAACCTCGGCTGGTAGAGAAGTGGACATCAAGAAGCAAGAGGTACCAATAATGAATATGATAATGGTATCCACTAACCTTGGATGTACCAGTCACAAATTGCAGAAATCTTGCCATGTCTTCCTTGCTAAAACCTTTAACGACCTCCCAAAACCACTGAACAACAGTAGATGCTGCTGTATATCCAGTATATTCAGAGTTGGCCTTCAGATCTTCCACTGCATACAGAATCATGATAAGAAGCTTCATAGGAAACAAATGTAGTGTATACACAAAGCAATGGTGGAGAAGCATGTCAACTTACTATCAATTTCTGGAAGGCCACTTATCAAAAGTTCAAGCTCTTTATCATTGAAAATGGAGATCAGTTCGCGTGGTACCAAGTTATTGAAACCTTCAAGGAATGCATTTATTTGAGGGCGAATAGCATTTGTCAGAATATGGTCAGCAACGAGATCAACATACTCGTGCTTTGTCTCTTCTGTGACCCTTATATTTCTTCCTCCAGGTTTAAGCTCATAATCAGTAACCTTACTCATGCAAAAAATAAAAAAATACTTTAGATATTACCTTAACAGAGTAATCTGACTTGCACATTTAAACTTTTAAGGGAGAATAAAAAATTTATGCATTAGTACCTCTGTTTTCTCATAAAGAATGAGTTTTTCCTCATCAGCATCCATGCTAAAAGTCAAATCTGGTATATCACTCACATCATTCTGGTAAAGGAAACCCAGATACCGTCAGAAGTTTCTGGATGAAATTCTAGGTCAGTTAACAAATTATTGCAAGTTTATGATATCTCACCTCCAACATCCACTTCAAGTTCTTATAGTAATCAGGATCGACAGCCTCTATATCATGATATGTGACCTTTACATTGAGGATATGTTTGTAGAACGACCGGGTAAAATAAACATCCAGCAACTGCCCATCAAGTAGTGCTTTGGCAACCTACAAAGTGTATCATGTCAAAGGCTTGAGATTAAGATGTGAAAGTATATATGCTACAAGAATAAAATCATAGCTTTGGATTTGAAAAGGAGTTCCTGAAGTCCTACCACGCGGCCTACAAATTTGAAATATGAAAGATGTTCAGTTTGATAAACTGAATTCGGATTAGGTTGGAAAGTCGCATTATTCCCGACAGTTGTAAACAGCAAAGCTCCTTTGTCAAATATGACCCTTGATAGCAATTGATACCACTCTCTAGTCAAACCACCAGCATCAATACCCTCTTCACCTTGAAAATGCACATTTAGCCGTCCTTTCAGGTCTTGACTGGGTCGCATACGCAACTGATTATAAGAATCCTCCAACACATAAGCCCGCCGAATACTAATTCGCAGAGGACCTGAGAGGTGCTGTTCATGCTGCTGCCTTATCCTGGAGCGAAAATAAGCTCTTTTATTGTCAAAATCAATGAGCCGTGGGGCTTTCAGCATCACACAAAGTGATTTCTCCAGTAAGCCAGGGTTCTGCCTGACAAAAGCATTAAGCAAGCGTCGGTGCTTTTCCGCAAATCTTACAAATGTTAAAGCGCCATCTACTCTTTTATGTGAATCCCCAGTAGACTTGGAGGACAACTTGACTGAAGTACCAGCTAATTCTTTCACCTCTCGTGCAGTTGCATTGATATGATCTTGCTGCATAATAGAGCTGTTTGCCTGAAGCTTCTCACACAAAACAAAGAAAGCCTCAATAAAAGGTAACAGTCGCTGAGTTCCAGGAGGCAATGGAGAAGATACAGAAGAAGCACCATGTGTATTCTCCCCGATATTAGAACTTGACATAACTGAAGAAGAAGTGCTCTGTGTGAGCTCTAACTCCATGGTGCCAATGCATTCACTCAGCTCTTCCCATAATGGTTCCAGTGAAACATTTAACTTCCACATGATATTATGCTCAACATGTTCCTCCTCCATAGATGTGTCCGCATTGCCAATTGCACAAGCTGTACTTAGTGAACTAAGTGTTTGTAGTACACGAAGAACAGCAGCTCCAGCCATGGATCCAGCACTCAGTCCAAGCATGTGTGTATTCTTAAGTGTGATAAGCTCCTCTACAGCTGACTTGCTCAGCCTTTGAGTCAACTCTGAAAGTTCTGAAATGAAGAACTTGCGATGGGGAGCAGCAACTATGGCTAGCTTCTTCAACACCTCGCCAGCAAGCATGTAAACTTTGTCTGATAGCCTAGAAGATACACATTATATGTCAAATAGTTGCAACACAACATTTATCTTTCAGGAGTGAAAAGGAGAGATAAATTAAAAGGAAGACAAAATGAAAGATCACAAATCACGAACAGAGAGAAATATAAAATATTTAGGGCAATCAAGGTGCAGAAAATTTTAAGCACAATAAGTACCCTTCGTGACCAAGAAGACAGCAAAGATTGTGCAAATCAGACTGTGGCAGCTGCAAGAAGATGTCACGAATGTTTAGGCTTCCGTTGCCATCAGATGCAGGGTTGGCAGAACCAGTGCTGCTATCATCTTGATGGGACTTTATGTCTGGCAATCCAGGATCTTTCTGTAGATCACTCATAGTTTCATTGCCAGCAGGATTATGAGAATGGTCTACTGTTTCTTCAGAATGAGACTGACACTCCATCTTGGAAGCTGCAGTATAGACAACTACTTGAAGAAGGCCCATGACCTGCACAGTACGTGCAAGGAAACAATAAATGTATCTGAGCTAACTGTCTCAAAAGCCCTAGATTTCAGTAGTATGAAACGAAAGACGCTTGACTATAACCTACCTGTTCAAGATGTGCAATGCTGCGCAAGAAAAGTGGTCGATTCAAGAGCTTGAGAAACAAAACCAATGGAACATCCCCCTTGTGAGAGCTTCCAAAAGGATTTAAGGAATCTCCTCCAACAATTTTCTCCTTGCCTTTGTCCCTCTTTTCCGAACACTTTACATCTGACCACTCTGGAATAATCGAGAGCTCAAAGTAGAAAAGAAGACTGGCAACCGCAGAGTGGTTGGTAGCGAGGTAAGTTAAGATCTCCAGAATCCGACGCAATACCAGTGGAGGAAGTCCTGGAAATAACTTAATTGGTTAGCGAAAGACCATACATAAACACAGACCTCCAACGTCACTTTAGAAGAGACAGATACCATCAAACAGTTGTGATCGGCCATAAACAATATTCGACTGACAGCCATAAAGTCTCTGTGAATTAATGGTTGTTAAACCACCAACTGCCCCTCCAGTCTCAGGCTTGATAGCTTCAAGAAGAAGGTGGACCAGAACTGCTCTTGTACTACTATGAGCACACAAATTCAACAAGAGTCTCTGCAAGAGACCTTTCCCAAGAGGCTGAAAACAAAGATGGAATGGGTCAGTTAAATACGTTCAACAATTAATGTAAAATAAATAGACCAAACAATTACAACACCAACTACAACTCTACAGAAGCAAGCCTATTGTCCAACGATAGAAGCATCTTCATTAAAAAGCCAGTTGTCCCATTGACGCGAAGCAATTTACCTGTGCTAATCTCAAGAGGCGGATCAATGCTTTCAAGCCGTTAGCATCTAAAAGTGGTTCGCCTTCAAGTTCCTTCAACTTCAAACTCTCTGAAAAAGAAGATGAAGCCCTCCGGCCGATTGTAACACCCACGCCCCTGTCCATAACTGTCTGTCTGTCAAATCCCAGACCATTTCTCCGACCGTGAAGCCTGTGGCTGCCTCCAAACAAGCTGCGTGCTTGGTAGTGACTCATAGCTCTGTCCCGAAGCATTTGTGCTTCAGCGAGTAATGGAGATGGCAATGCTGACAAAACAGCTTCTGATGATGTTAACAGCACCTGAAAAACACCCAAAATAAGCATAAATAAAAGGGAAAATACAAAGCCACCTGAACTATACACCAAATCCCCGTGTAGAGAACAAAAATTATATTACACACCCAATCTTTTCAAAGTGTAACTAACACACACTACTTTTTTCTTAACCAGTTTTTCAGAATATATGTAATGCCACGCACCAATAAGGCCATGACACGTGTTAATAAGTTTTTAAAAAAAAATAAAACACCTAAATTTACAATTATACCCTTAGCATCTCCCTTCGTCTCTTTCTCTTTTGCAAACCATCAAAACAATGGCTGCCACCAAACATTAACAGGCACCCCACCATTAATTTTCATCTTCTTCACTATATCAATAACTCTATTGTGACACATTCAACTGCTTTCATTTTCTTCCATAACCACCAAGCTTCATTAACTCTGCCAACACCACCATGGGTTCCACCTCCACAATCACCATTTTCAACAGTTAAACCACCGTCAAAACCATTTCCATAACCCAATAATCCTTTTCACCGGCAAAAAGTATACAAAATCATTAAGAATTACATGAAGATCGAAACATCAAGAGAACCCAGAAGTTGAAAATGACTAAAGAATGTTGTTCTGAGAAACTTTCTTCAACAAATTAAGGTTTTTCCATTTGGGTTATGGAAAAATATACTGGTTATTTGGGGTAAATTTGGATTCCCAAATAAAATCCGCAGAAGAAGCATCCCAGAAAGCTCAATTAAGATCCGATATATTTTCAAACTTAGGCGTCAATGGAGGATGGTTTAACCCATTAACAGGATTGAAGTCAACTGAAGTGGGTCTAAGTGTTTAGGACCAGCCATGGCAGATTTGTGAATTTTTTAAACAAGGAAGAAGATGACCCAATTTATTTATTTTTAAAACTAAAAAAAAAATTGACATATACACAAAACTTCTCCTGTTCACGCGCTTCACTTGTTGGAAAAAACACACTAGCCACGTGGGCAAAATGGTGTGTATTAGACACACTCCGGAAAGGTTGAGTGTGTAAAATAATTTTCACCTGCAAAAAGTGTGCAACAGAGATTTGGTCCATAGTTTAGGGGGTAACTTCTGTATTTTGCCTAAATAAAATCTTAAAATATTCAGAGGAACAGGAGAAAACACTCCAACCACAGACCTCTTCACGCAGGTCAGCTGGAAATGTGGCTATGATTGAAGCATTATCCATTTCCACAGGCTGACCTTCAGCCTGCTGTATGACTCTCTGAGCACGTTGTTGGGCAAGAACTTCTGCTTGAATATCTGGAGGAAGAGCAGCTAAAAACTCTGGATCAATATCTTCAGCTGCCGGTGCTGTATAAGTTGGAGGTTGAGCCTGAGCCTGCTGCGATGCAAGAACCTCTGCCCGAAGATCTTCCGGAAGTGCTTCTAAAAAGGTCGGATCTATAGCATTTGCAGTAGAAGCTTCATTATTCAAACTAGTTTCATCAGTTTGACTAGCATCTTGAACTTCCTGAAGGTTCTGAGTCACTGATGGGTCCTCAGGCAGAACAGGTAATGGTTGGTCATTCCCCCTTTCTGGTTCTGCACCAAGCATATGTATATCAGCATCCTGAACTAAGGAAGCATGGTGAACACTGGAGTCCAGCATTGCTTCCCCAGAAATCAGCAGTGGCTCATCACTGGCATGACCATCTGTTACTGGGGTTGTGTCATTGCCTACATCAGTCGCATCGCCTTCACCTTGTATAGATGACACAGCATAACCTGTAGTTCCCTCTATGTTGTCACTTGGATTTGCATTTCCTTCCCCAATCAACATGCTGCCATGACCATTGCTAGTCCTGTCTGAAAGTACATTTTCCATAGGATCAATAGCTTCGGGGAATTCACCAACCTGATCAGCAACAACCTCCTGATTGTTTTCCCTTTCACAAGACTGAACCTCAAGTGGTTGATTGGATTCTTGCCCACTATTGTTATGGGGATCATCATTCTGTTGACCAGCGGTGCTATCACCCTCAATCTGCTGTCGACTCTCACCAACTACAGGTATGTCCTGCTCTCTCTCCAATAATCCAACAGCATGTGACAGCCTTTCAGGAGGATTAGTAGCTGGAGCAATTCTGTTTAGTTGACAAATGAACTGCTCTTCGACCATCTGTGCAATAGCGGCAGACTGACCACCTGCTTGTGGTTGACCATCATCAGTCCACCTACCATCACCAGGCCTACGACCTGGAACATGTAGAGACTCCAAACCAACAGAAAAGTCAGCCAAAGGTGGGGCTGCTGCACCACTGAGTCTGTCACTGAAAAGGCTGGACGGCACACTATCAAACGAGAGTACTGGAGAATCAAAAGTGTAGAAACGAGCTACATCCAGCCTACCAGCAGATATTGCTTCTGAATCCCTGGACGAGTTCCCAAGAGATGACCAGACAGAAGCAGAGTCACCAGACTGTGATGGCCTCAAGAGGAGAGGATGTTGCAGACCAGTAACTTCAGTAGCAGAGTGTTCTAAGGAATTCCTAGTTGGCTGGCGGCGACGCTCAAAGCCAAAGGTTCTACGTAGACCAAAAAGGTCATCAACATTCCACCCTTCAATTGTCTCACCTCCAACATTAATAAGCCCACCTCCTGTTCCAGGTTGCCCTAAAACTTGCAAATGGTCAAGGCCGTCCAAGGCTTCCCTCCACCTAACCTCAATGACTCGATTTTCATGAAACTCATCATCCTCTTCATCAACCATGTCATCATTATATTCACCTCCCAGGCCAGTATCATCATGCTCTTCCCCATCTGTATCAGCCAGAGACATCAAGCCGGTGCCATCTTCAGCTATATCTTCATCCTCATCCTCACCTTCATCATCATCCTCGTCGTCCTCGCCGTCATCTCCCATATCATCATCTTCTTCTCGCATTTCATGATGTGCCCTATTCTCAACGTGGAAACCCATCCCAATTTGCTCTGTGTCATTCAGAACACCATTGTCTTCCATTTCATCACGCATGTAATCCAACCTAAGCTCGAGAGGAGGATTGCCTGCAGTTGCTTCTTCTTGCTCAGTTCTCATTTCTTGCTCCATGGAAGGATTTGCAGTCACATTCTCATTGCTGTGATTCTGAGAAGCACTAGCCGGCAGTTGCCCTGCACTTGAATTAGGGACCCCCTGCAGGCTGTTTCCAGTTCCACTGACCTCTATGTTCGGAAAGGCTGATGTTGTATTCACTTGATTATCCGACCCACCATTAAGGGCATTTAATTTTTTCTTGCTCACAGAATCAGTTTTAAAAAGTTGCTCACTAGCATTGGCAGCCCTTGTTAGGCTTTCCAATGTTTTAAGAATCAGATTCACAACTTTCGGAGCATCAGGGTGATCCAAGTCCATTGCTTGAAGGACACCAGACAAGCACTGCACCAATCCTCCATCTATCATGCTTTTGGCTATATCTGGAGAACAGCCAGAACCAGGTAAGTCACCTGCGGATGAATTCTTGGACAAAATGGAATATGCAAGATCAACAAAGGCAAGGACTTTTTTATCTGGCAATAAACTGCCACAGGCAGAGTTGTTTTCAGACTTCACAAATGAAGACAAGGCTTTCACAAGTTCATTAATAACCCTCCTACGACCTTCACTAGATCGACCAGACAAAACTACCAGAAACCATGAAGCTTTTTCAGACAGCTTGTCTCTCCATTCATCAGGGCCTGCAGATTTATCCATAGAAAGAGGAAGAAGCCGTTGCAACACATGATGGATAATGCCACCATAACCAGGATTCTCCGGCTGATGGGATCCCCGAAGTTGACACATCTCCAGATCCCTTCTCAGGATAACCCCAAGAGCATGTACATACATCATAAGAATGTCACTCAATAATTTGAGTACGAAAGTCACCTTAGCAAGCCCTGCTGATTTCTCTGACACCCTGTCAGACTGAACCTCCCGCAACTCATCCACCTTCAATTTCCCCTTTACTTTGACTGTAGGCTCATCAATATCCATAGCACAGGCGTTTCCCACGCAATCTTCTAGCATTCTCTGTGTAGGAAATGTTGCTACTATTTCAAGAAGATGATCAATAACCTGAGAAATATTTGCAGGGATCTTTTTGTGGCCTTTCGAACACTTCCCTGATCCATCCTGGGTCTTATTTTCAGAAATACGTAGACACTCATTAGAAGCTCCAAACTCAACAGATGTTTTACCTTTCTCTCTCTCCTTGTCTTTCTCTTTTGATAAGACAATGATAGATCTACCTCCAGATGATTCCAACTGGCAAACTGCAGCTGCAGCTTTCACAAATACTCCAGGGTCTCGACATATTACAGGTGCCATTGATGTTAAAAATGTTTTAACAGAAGTACGACCAGCATGACGACTTCCACTAAGAGTCTGCCGTATCTCCATCTCCATGGCTGTTTGCAGGGTCTGAGGATCTTCAAGAAGATGTCTAACAATGGCAGATGCTAAGGTGTCATATCCAGGGAAGTAACAAGATCTCGGAAGACCAAAAAGAGAAGTCATTCCACCATTTTCAAGAAACTGAATGGCAAGAGAATGTGTCTTTGTCAAGCGTGCACACAGCTGAAGGGAAGCCTGCATAACCATGGGTGGTGCATGTCGTTTAACCAAGTCATAAGCTATATCAAGCACCCTACAACTGTCCTCTATACTCAGATAACCTGTAGGTTTCCCAAATATTTTCTCAAAACCATTGGATGATTCATCATCCTGGGAGACTAGAGTTGACTTCTTCTCAATCACTGCTTCAGGAACTTGGGATGGGAGATGCTCTTCTAAAGACTCTGGTAAAGATGCAGCTATGACTCTTTCAGTGTCATCACTGGAGATTTTAGGCCTGGTTTGCAACAAATTAAATAAGATTAGAAGCAATGCGCTGATGCATCTAGGAGCCATAATCTCATTTTCAGCTCTAGCCTTGAACTTCATCAATATTTCAAGAACTACAGAGACAATATCATTCTTTGCCGCAATTTCCCGTATACTTGCATCTTCAGAGAGAAGCAATGTTAAAGTATGTGATATCATACATAAGGCACCAGTATCTCTTGAAAATTCTAGCTGGCAATCTTTCAACTGTTGAATAAGACATGAAATCACTTTTGCACGATCTTCTCCTTTGTTCCGATTGCAAAGAGTCACAAGTAAATCCATTAAGGGAAAAGCCATGGAGTCGGTGCTCTGAAACAGCTTAATTGTTGCAGCAAGGACATCTTCAACAGGTGGTGGCTTAGTTTGTTGCTCTTCAGAAAGAACATCCACCGATCTATCAACATTATCGGCTTTAGAAGTCTCTGATGAATTCCCAAGTGACAAAGCTAGTGCACGAGCCAACTCATCATCTTCTTGAGCAGGATCTTCAGCATGACTGAACAACCACTCCATGGCCATCTCCACACTGTTTGTTTCTACACGTCTTAATGCCTCCTCAGCTCTTGCTCGTGAAAAGCCCATTTCAACAATTGTACCAATAGTAGCCTCATCAGGTGGAGGAGCCATAGCACGTGGGTTTGCAGAACCTGATGACCCATTGCGATTTCGTTTCACATCCCCAGCACCACAGTAGATGTAATTTATAAGCATAATAATAGAAGTAATAAACCCTGGATTGCAACTGGGGAACATCTGATGGTTCCAAATAAGAAGTATAACATCCAGAACCTGAGACTGCAGCATACGGACAAACACTTCTGGGTCTCTTGGAACAGGAAATAACCCAATAGACAAACCGACTGCAACTGGCTGAACAAGGAGCTGCGCTTGGGATGTTGAGGATGGAGACAACAGCAAAGCCGAATTGACAAAATATTCAAGCAAACGGCAATAACTCTGCAGTGTATCAAGAAGCCACGAACAGTGAGATAACTTGTTTTCCTCCCCACTATTTTCAGGAACCATTCCAGATGGCGGTACAGAATAGGGAAGTGTCCACAACAACTGACTGGTTGCTTCGAATGTTGTCAGAAGCTCCTTAAAGGTTCCTTGTGCATAGAAATTATTGATCATGGATGCATAACAGGTACGCCGCCTGGCATCAAATGTTAGAGATACCATATCAACCACAACCTTACCAAGATATCGACACTTGACAGAAGGTGGTATATCAAGCACATCAGCGTCTGGATATCCTGAGAAACCAAGAGCCTCGAGAAAAACTTTAGCTAGGGCAGTTCCTATGCTCTTTGAAGCTGCACTTAGAGATCCAGTTTCAGTTCTCCGACGATTTGGAGATGTAAATCCTTTAACAAGAGCCACAAAGAAAGAACGCATGCTAGAAGCAAGCTTGTTCAGATTTTCTAATACCAGAACATCAGGAGTCTTTTTCTTCATCTCCTGGATGCTACTCTCCACTACACTGGGAGCAACTTCAGAATCAGCTTGTAAACTTTCCAAATGCCTACTGGTCCTTCCACCACGAATCCGTGCTATACCATGTCTACTACGACGATTAAAACCTTCACTTGAACGAATTACAGAAAGAAACTCACGTTCTACACCCCATTGAGAGTGAGAACTATTCCTGATAGAAACAGGATTCATGTATCTAACTGAAGGAATATTAGTCTCCTCATCACTATCTCTACCTCCCATATTGGAAGAACCTGCTTCTACATTTTGAGGCTCTACTTCCACGTTCTGTTTCTCATCCACCTTAGAATCACAGCATAAGGAGATTTGCCAAAGTACTTCCTTATACGCTCTCCCAAGATCCTTTAAGACATCAGCATCCGCAGTTCCTAACTCAGAAACCACAGTAGTACTTCCCTTCAATAAAGAATTGGAGAGAGATAAAATACCTTCAAGACTTGAAAGGTTCTTCAACACAGTTATCCTCTTAGCAGACTCCACCTTTACAAGCTGTGATCCTCGAACTTCAACTATAAGTTCATTCGTTAACTTCAAATGTTCTCTTAAAAACAAACAGACTGCACGAGCAAGAGAAGCAGAATGCTGTGGAGAGAAATTCTTAAATGCAACAGATAAGGTCTGACCAACAGAAACAGAAAGTGGCAGGGCAGGCAAAGTGAATAGCTGCAGAACAGCTTCAGTTCCTTTCTTCTCAACAAAAATACGGCATGTATCCGAATTCTGAAGAATTGTTTCAAGGAGACGAGCAGCATTGCTTATACATTCAGGAAGAAAAGACTCCATGTTTGGTACCAAAGAATCAGAAGATGGTTCGACGTTCTCCAAACTTTTAGCCTTTTGTGAGTCTTTCTCAGGCAAAACAACACCTTTATCCTCACCTTCTGTTTCCATGGGAACAGGGTTAGAAGAGCTAGGACTTTCAGCTGAGGGTGAAATAGCTTCTGGAACAGATCCAAGTTTTGCAATCTCCTTCAAGATCTCGATCATCATTTCCACTCCAGGTTCACGCAGTGATGAGGTATGCCGCATTAGTTCATCAAGGCCACTAGACAAAGATCCAGTGGTATCTCCACTAAGGGCTCTGACATATGTTTTTGAAGTGAATATTTTTACAAAACACCTCAAAGCATTGCGATCTCTCACAGCCTGAAGACCATAGCTATTCAAGCACAAAGCATCTAAACACTGAGGTATGCAAGTTATAGCTTCAGCAGAGCATACAACTCCATCGATAATAGCATCAATGAAGGCAGAAGGAAGACCAGCTGCTTGCAATACAGGGAAGCAGGTAGGATCTTTGTGAATAAGATCACTCATCACCGTTGCAGCAAGATGAAACACCCCTCCACCAAAATCCTTAGCTCTTCTGAAGATTATGCTCAAGCATTGAGGCAACAAACTCTCCTCTGAACCATAAATACGAGCAGTGGTTCCAGGAGCATAGGTTCCCAGAGATATGGCACGTAGTAAAGCTTTCATCAGTAACCGCCGATGATAAGCAACCAACACATCAGAATAAAGAGCCTGCCTGCTGTCTAGATCAGAAGAAGTACCAGCAACTATCTGAGAACCACTGAAGTCAGAACTGTCAAGATCAATACTAGCACTAGGCATCTTTATACCATTTTCAACACGAGAAACTTCTATGTTAAGGCGTGCTATGGTATCATCCAAACCTCCCAAATCTCTGAATAGCGCAGCAGCTGGATTACTATAATCCATGAATGCTTCTAGAACATGAACAGCCATGCTAACTAAATGCAAGTGTTGAGGATCCGTATCTTTAAGTAAAGGTAGAAGAGTAGGAATGAAACCTGCTTCTCGCATGGCTGAGCAACCAGATGAAGATGAGACCAAAATGGTAACAAGAGATAGCAGAGCTTCAGCAAAAAGAACAGACCATTTTGAGGAATTACTAACAATAGAATCAATGTCCTTTTGCATAAGGCTGGAGAGAATACCACGATGCCCCCCAGATGTTACAGCTGTCAACACACTTGGCTGGCGTGACCGATCTTGACAGAGAGCAACCAAGGAAACAAGAGCCAAAATTCTAATCTTCTCAGGAACTACGTCTTCATAGCTCAATAAGTAACCAACTCATTAATGAACTCTGGTTCTGTGTTGAAGAACGAAACCAAATCATCTGAATCACTGCATGCTTGAACAAGAACTATAAATGCATAGAGGCGTATGCAAGTGTACTGTTGTCGAGAAGCTGGAGAACTGAATGCCCTAGCATATCGCAATCTTGTCAAAAGAGGAAATCTCAAAATAGGAGGGACTTTGTACTGTAAGACTAAATTGTTTAAAAGTTCCAAATCTGATTCTTGTATGCTGTCAATGCTGGGCAAATGGATGGTCTGTAAACCAGCAGGGGCAGTGGGCTCATCTAAAGATTCAGTCACTGCATAGAATTCAAAATGCAAGGTGCAACCTAACTCATTAGCACTTGAATCAGAGCGGTCCTGCAGAGCACACGCAATTAACCCAAGGCCTTCTTCCTTTCCTCCCCAACCCTGTGCAAGGGCAAACAGCTTTGAATTAAGAGAAGCATCTCTAATGACGTATTTCCCTATTGTTTTCTTCAAAAAGGCAGCCAAAGTTTGCAAGCACGCCTCAACCACATCCGCATCGGGGGAAGCAAGCAAAGCTGACAAGTGATGCTGCAGCACCAGGGAAAAGAAAACAAAAATTCAAAATACTATAAAATTTCACAATGTGTGTTAGAAAATTATTAAAAAAACAGTAAGACGATAACATAATTTTACCGGATCAAAAAATGGAAATGGAACGCGTTCTAAGATATTAATACACATTATTTTATTCAGAGTAGATAGCAACTTCCTACATCTTAAAGTCAGTTCAGAAACTAAACCATATCCCCCCTTATGCATATAAGTTTATCAAGAATACACCTCAAAATGTGCCACTTCTAACCCATGTAAAGCCAGCAACAAAACAAAAAGAGCGGCTTTAAGTATATCTTCAGATACCTCATATGAGCTGTAGAAATGCTTATTTGTGCAGTTCTCCAATATTATCCTTATAACACGAAGGACCTGGAGAACAGCTTCCCTTGGAAATTGAGGATCGGATTCCAAAAAGTGGTCATCAAGTTGCAAATCCTTCCTAGTCTTAATGTATTTCTCAAAAAATGTATCAAAGTGAATAAAGAGATCAACCCAATGATAAAAATCTCCCTGCATATACATGAATAAGAAAAGGGAAAAATAGATTAAGAAAAGAGAAGAGGTGCAAAAGGGGGAATAGTAACAGCATCAAATGAAATCTCTATAGTACCTTATCAAACTCCCAAACAAAACTTTTCAGGGGTTCTTCTATATTCTCTAATGGAGTAGCAGTGACGCTACTGATAAACGATCGGATCTTTGGAGGCTGAAAAAAGAAAGGCAAACCAAATGTGATCAGCACATATTTAAACTTCTTTTAAGCAGTATATGTTAAATATAACGCTAGCAACTTTCAAACAATTATCACGAAACCAACCATGAAATAGTGTGCTTCAAGAGGGTGTCTTTCCCTAAATTACTCAACAAAATTTTGAAACTTCTATAAATGAAGCCTGACTGAAGCACCCTAATGAGCAAACACAAATAAACTGTACTTTGGAAATATATTTTTTTTAAAGGAGCTTGAAGATACAAGTATCATATGATTTTGAGATGTTAAGTCCAAAATTCCACAGATCAAGCTCGACGGACCTGGCTATGCAACTTCTATGATTAGTAAATTGCTCCAGTCATTTTGGAAGTTTAAAATGCAGATATCTAAATTCATATAAGCAACCGCACAAAATGTGTCTCCTGCCAAACAAAATATGGTCTTCAACCTTGATTAACCACCATCCAAGTATCCGGGATGCATGCCTAACAAAAAACACTTTAAAAAATCTTCACTTTACCAAACTATACACTAACAAACACGACTAAATTTTCTTCCCTGGGGTCCTAGATTATACTAACACAAACTAGATTAATCTCGGTGGTGGACAAAACATTCCCCTTTGCCAGTGAGAGAAACAGTTGACATGAAAAACAAATTTCTGCCAATTACCACCAGTGGTGGAGCCACAGCCAAGAACGGGGTTCAATTGAATCTCCTTCTACTGCACAAATAGGGCAAAAACAAATTTTTCCATATGTATATAAACTTTTGAATTCCCTTGACATATTTTAGGTTTCAAGTTTGAAACTTTGAATCCCCTTGTTAAAATTTCTGGCTCCGCCACTGAATTTAGGTCGGTATTGACCCGGTCACAACACCTGTGTCTGTAGCAAGATAGAAAAACCCCTCGGGCTCCAACCACTTATGAGTGCCAGCTCCGTAAAACCATAAACTTTATGACATATCAATCAATCAACTGCTCCTAACTAAATGAAATGTCTATATCTATTTAAAGCTTATAACATATAATCAAAATTTTCTAACATGTACTACTTAGATTAAATAAATTCTTAGCAATAAAAATCAACTCTTGATGTCTAAAAAGCATCAATTTTATATAAGCATGCTCGATAACTTCAATCAATTGACGTCGAATCGGTATGATCAGAAAATTAACACACACACATATATATAACTAACCACTTCTACGGCCCTCCTTCGCTTTAACTTCATCTTAATATCAACCAATTGATTAAACCATTGGACAATAAACGATCCAATTAATCAGTAAAATCAAGAAGCTGAGGCTTTGAAACGATCAAATTAATATATCCTAAAAGAGATTGAATTTGAAATGAGGCAATGAGGTTTTAAGGAAGATCGTGCGATTTCTAGGGTTTTCGGGAAAGGGTTTTTGGTTAAAACGATTGGTGAGTGAGGATCGCGGAGAGATAGAGGAGAATAGAGAGAAATTGAAGAAAGATAGGAGAGCAATTTTAATTTTTTTACACAAAAAATAAGTGTGTTTGCCACTTGCATCTATATATATAGGAAAATGCCAAGGATTTTGAGAATAAATAGGGGAAGAATTTCTTTTTCAGGTGAATGTGGATAGAAGGTGGGAAATATTAAATTAAATTCATATAAATAGGGGTAGAAAAATTTAGTTTGAAAATAAGTGATGTTTAAATGTTTAGATAATAATTTAGTATTTTTCGACCACAATAATTTAGTACAATTACCACAAAATCTTTGCATTTTATGAGTTTTTTGCTTGAATAATAATAAAATTATAAAATATAATAAAAATATTAAGTTAGTTAAACGACTTTTAATTCAATATAAAAGATTTTAAATCCTATAGTTGTAAAACTTATAGGACGGTAAACAAATTTATAATTTGCTTGTATTGTCTAATTAAAATTACTTACTTAATCACGAGTAGAAAATATAATTAAAAAGTTGCTTAATGGATAATAATTTGGTCAATAAATCGCTACTAATTTCGAAACCTAAAGACTTTGGTGAAGCAAAGCAGTTTTTTTATTTTTACATTAAATTATAGCAAAGTGTATATTTAGATAAAATCATATTATTGCACAGGTAATTAGTAATGCATGATTCACTACTATTGAGTAACATGATGGGATAGTATAATTCCTTACTTCTAAATATAAGTTTTAATGTTCAAGTCATGAGAATGAACCTTTTGGTTGGAGAATTCTTTAACCCGTTTAATAAGTCTACCCGATGCAGATTTCAAATATTGGATGTTTCAATTATAATTAAAAAAAAGACACAATAACTCCTAGATTCATCTAGCATAAAATAACAAACTAAAATAAAAGTATGCAAGAAAAATATAAATATAAGTTCGAAAAAAATGAGTACATTTGATGCATGTCAATGTTTTACCTGCTATAAATATATTATATTATAAATGTTCATTTAATACTCCGTTGTAAATAAGCTTCCTGAAGAAGCTTATCTGTATGAGACTTCGCCGTAAATATGTTTATCTATTTAGTACTCTATTGGAAATAAGTCTCCTCAAGAAGCTTATCTTTTCGGTACCCCATTATGGATAAATATCACCCCTGATAGAAGATTATCCATATCTGGTACAATGAGCTTATCCTTTCAGTACCCCATTATGGATAAACATCACTCCCGGTAGATGATTATCCATATCTGGTACAATGAGCTTATCTTTTCAGTACCCCGTTATGGATAAACATTATCCCCGGTAGAAGATTATCTATATCTTGTACAGTGAGCTTATCCTTTCGGTACCCCGTTATGAATAAACATCACACCCGGTAGAAGATTATCTATATCTGGTACGCTGAGTTTATCCTTTCGGTATCCCTTTATGGATAAACATCACCTCCGGTAGAAGATTATTTATAACTGGTACAATGAGCTTATCGTGTCGGTACTCCGTTACGGATAAATATTACCCCCGGTAAAAAATTATCTATATCTAGTATAGTAGCAGCTTACACAACAGCTTACACAATAACTTGCTTTCTTATATAAATAGAGGAGATTTCAGTTCATTATGTACATAAGTTTGAAGTTTGAATAATATATCAGT